ATCATCAGTTGTGTACATGCCATTTCCACTACTTGAAACAAGGTTTTACGTATTTACTTTGGAAGAAGTTCGTTCAAAAATATACATAAAACCTAATTCGTAAAAAGTTTAGAAACTAGACTCTGGCACTACATCTTAGTTGTTCTAGGATTGCATACTTAAAATCTAGTCAAAAAATGAGCGTAAAAATCACTTCCGTCCCTTTTTAAGTAGTAATTTTTCTTGAACATATTTTAACCAAGCTTCCTCCACTTCTTTTGTTCAGCAGTTTCAAGTCCTCTTGTATGAGCTATGTATTCACTCCTTTCAACTCTCTTCTCCTAATCATCAATTAAGAAAATAAATTAATTTTTATGTAAGAGTACTTAAATACACGTATAATTAAAATGCACATAAAGCATGTAATGGGCCTGCAGATAAATCCCCATGTTTTCAAACGCTTCGTCGATCGACATATATATTAGTACGTATAGGCATAATTAGTTACCATGACTTGGTCAGTGACGACTTTCTCGACATATATTCATAATTTAGATAAATTAATTTATAGAACTCGGTTAATCTAATTGATTAGTCTCACAAATTCTTAGCTTGGCACCTGACCATGGGGATAATGTCAATAGATCATATTTAATATCGTTTGCTGTTTTGTAGCTCCGAGATGGCGAGTACTTCTCATCACCAGATTCCACTACAAGGATATGCCCGCATATTGACAGATCTATAGTATACAAAATCAGATTAATTAATTGAACTATATGTCGGAGGAACGTTGCATTTTAGCGACAAAGAATGAATCAAAGTACTAAAATTGATCATTTTGCTCCCAATATATAATATGTGTCTATATATATATATTATTCATGATGCTAGGTATACAACAGTTATTTTGTTTTGCATTTAAAAAAAAATGAAATCTATTAAAAAACATCACACAAGTAATCAAACGATCGCACACGCGCATACCTTAAAAGAAACATCACAGCTTCATAGTTATAAACTCATCCGTCATAAGTACAATGTAATTTCTCTACCACGGAGAACACACATCAAATCAATAAGAAAGAACTCATGAAGACCTAACTTTGCAAGTCGTAGAACTACCGGAAGGCACTACGAGGAAAAGGCTGCACCACCCTCTAATGGTCTTTGATCTTGCAATGTCAATGCATGAGTCACCTCCAACAAACGTCAGACTTTCACCTCATAATTATTTTCTATGTGCACAAATTACAAGAAATACAAAAACTACCACCTAAAATCTGAACACCAGCCACAATTTAAAGATGTGAGTTTGAGCTAAAAAATCACATAAAGATACTAACCTGTTGATCTTGCGAGATTGTTTTGTGAATAAACACTAGCCCTAAAAATAGAAATCATGTAAATTGCATACCCCAAAAATAATATAATTTAGCTTATAATTATACAATTAACTGATTTTAGTTCATATATAAAGTATAGAGTAATTGCATGCCCTCAAAAAATCTTGGAGTCATCACTTGTTAATTATATAACTTTAGTGGATATATAAAGTGTAAAGTAAGAGAAATAAATTTCATACACTCTTTCTCAATTCATACACCTCTTTTATTATGTAGCTGTAACTGTTAGATTGAACAATTAAAATAAAATTAACGATCAAAATTAACAGAAGTATGTAAAAGTAAAATAACGATGTGTTGAAATCATTGCCCATAAATTAAATGCCTAGCTACCCAAAAGTTTATGTTGTATATATTATGAACCATTATAAAGATACTAAGGGTGCAACTCATTTGGTTTGGTTGGGCAGGTTGGATGGTCAACCCAACTCTAACCCAATCTTCACAATTCAAGTTTGGGTTGGGTTCAAGTTCATGCAAGTTTAGTCAAGTTTGAGTCTAATTGGGTTCAGATTGGCCAACTTTATCGAGTTCAATCTTATAACACATCACCATCCACACAAAAGTTAAAGCAAACAACTTGAAGACTATTTCTAATGGTTCAACCGAGCGAACTTTTATTTAAATTACAAGATGTATCAAAGCTTAAACCAAGATAAATGTAAAAGTAGCAATGTCATTCATTATCCGGATGGAAATCGACAATAAACTCCAAGTATAGTCAATCTTTTTTTATTTTTTTATTTTTTTTTAATTTACTATTATTAGAGGGAGAGGAAGTAATATATACACATGAGCGAATTCGGCTCAAAATCGGGTTTGGTTTTGATTGACATGGATGGCAATGCATCAAACCAACCCAATCCAATAAATGAAAGGGTTGAGGTCCGGTCAGTAATCGTCTGAAATCGAGTTGGCATAAGCAGATTCTGGTTGATCCAACCTAAATTGCACCCCTTAGAGGATATCGCATAGAACAAGGTTCAAGTAGATTTGACTCGCTTAGCTGATTAATTAAGTTGAACCTTCTAATCATTCCTCATTTTGGTTGGGAGGGATAACAATGGAGGATAGTCCTATGCCACACTTTGTTGGCATATATGTTGGATGCATGCAGAATCGCAGATAATAATAGGTTAAACTATTTTTTGTTAAAAAATATGACATTTCCTAGGCAGTCAATGATTTGGTTTGGAATCTTTTAAACAAGAGGTAACATACACGAGAGGTTTTTATGTATTTCAGAACACAAAGTGGTACATTACATGTTATAGTATAATTAGTGGTACATTACAAAATGCAATACATTTCCTAGGCAGTCAATGATTCTAATTTATATTAATTTTAGGACATATTTTTAATGTCTCTCACTTAAATTATGACATACGATGTACTGCATTTTGTTCTGAGTCTGAGCAACTAAAAAATCTCTCAAGATAACACAAGACAAGGTGTGACAATATTGCATTCATAATACATAATTTATTTTTCCCAAATGGACAAATAATGGCTAGTGCTTAATAGAATTAGTAGTGTGATACATTTAGTGGTGGAGCTAGCATAGGGTCATTCGTTGCTCATGACCCTAAGAACTTCAAAATTCCTATGCATATTTGTGTGTATTTGTATTTGACTCCTATTTACTAAATTACAACCTCCTCTTTCTAATTTTATTTTCTTCTATCCTCGTCTGTTTTTTTTCATCTCTTCTTATGTGCGACTCTATCATACGCAACAAGTACTCTATAAATGCCAAATTTGACAAGCCTTGACAGTGTTCAACAGTACCCAACAGTTTCCTACAATTGCCCTCGACAAGCCTCTACAAAATTATGACCCCATTTAAAAATATTGGCACTGAATACATACAATGACAACTAAATGAAGTTGAGAACTTTGCACATTGTTTCAAAAGGGGTCCTTAAATCAAAACCTCGAAATCGAACTCTAAAGTCTACATCCTAAAGCAGTAAATCACGTTCAAATTTTGCAACCAATAAAAGAACAAAAATTAATGAACCATTCGATCACAACCCTACTCGACGTTGATCCTGTTAGCATCGCATGCAAGATTTAGGCAGTTGAAATCTTAGGTAGTTCTTGTTGTAATTTATGATATCATATGGATCGAACCCAACTGTCAATGGCTGCGTTTGATCTCATGGTTTTATGTTGCTGCTTGGATTAGACTGTATGAGAACTCGAAAACCACTTGACCAAGAACTGGTCATCTTAATCCTTATTAAGCACTGGATTTACAGCTAATTACACTTTTTCATCTACAAATTAATTGGGTCAAGAAAAAAAAAACAGATTAAATTCGAAACCAGAGAGTTGGTAAGCAGCAGGAGGCAGGCAGGCTCATTGTTTACTTTTCTCTTCAACTGTAGCAATTAAAATCGTGTTCAATAAAAGCTCAAAACCAGACGAATTGGCGGTCTTCTACAAAAATTTGGTCAACCTCAGAAAAAAAAAGGTCGTTCTTCTTTTCTTCGGTAGTAATTAAGTTCAGACTTTAATAATTTGATCCCTTTTACTTCACAAATAAAAATATAATAATAATAATATGATCCTTTCCTGCCGCATGCATTCAGTTACGTACGTGCTCAAAGCCAGACCTACGAGGACCAAGTCTCTTATTTAAAAGTTAGATAAGATTGTCTATTTGTTTAGGACAATACCTAAACCAAAGATTTAGTCACGGGAGAAGATGTACACAATTGGCACTCTTGTAATTAATTGTGTTGTAACTTTCATATCGATGAATTATCTTTATCGCTTATGTTAAAAAAAATATTAGACCATTTCGAGACCATCTGGAAAAGAGATGTCAAATGTAAAACATCACATTATTTGATGGCTTATGTGGCAGTTCGATATTTTATACATTCTTTGCTTCACCTGATATGTTAAATAAAAATGTCATGCTATAATTTTTTTTCTCACTTTGCAGGGTCCAATTATTGAGACAACCAATCAAATACTTATAAGTTGGAACACACAGCAGAGGCCTTTGTCTTCAATCGACTCAGCTCCACATAAGAAACTAAAAGGTCGGTGGAGAGAGTCTTGCTAACATCTTTTATTGTAAGTCTATGTGGCAGTTTTGACATCTTCATATATTTTTCTGACAAAAAGTAATAAATAGGAAATTATTGTTATTTTCAGGGTGGAGAGGAAGAATGAGTAGGATTCTCTCTCCCCTCCTATTCTCATCCCCTTCCTCTTCCCTCTCCTCTCACACTTTGTTTTTTGTCTTATTATCTCAATAAAAAAAAATTCAATATAAGATGTTAACGTGACTTAATTGTAATCATTCAAGTAAAAAGAGAGAGAAGGGAAGAGAAATTAGGAGGGAGGAAAATCATTCTCCGAAGAAGAAAGCTAGTAGTTTCCTGGTCCCTTTCTGCTTGACCCTAATAAATCATCATTAGCGTAATCAAATTCCCATCCTTCAAATCTTCATTTACTTTACCATTTGTTTCAAGACCGCGTACGTACATATTCGTATTTCTACTCGCCCAATCACATGCAGACATAAATACACGGACTCATAAGTCAAACATTTCCATTTCACCCTACCCCACTCCCTCTATAAATACCCCCTCACTCCCCCATACCCTCCATAAAAATTTCACCTTCCCTACCTTCATCTCTCTCTCTCTCACACACCTCCAAATCCCCAATCAACCGATCAAATTGAATTTAGGAACCTGGGTTTTGAATTCTGGAATCTGCAGATGCCTAGGAAAGGAATGAGGACTCTGTTTTTCAAATCTCCGTCTCCGTCGCCTTCAAACTCTCCCTCCAGAACCACCGCCATGCTGCCTTCGTCGCCGCGCCACAGCTTCTCCGACTCGCTAATGGAAGAGAACATCGAAATCGCTGAGGCCCTAATCACCAAGTGGGACTCCGACTCTGGTTCCACTTCCTACACCGCTGTCACCTCCATCTTCTACGACGACCGCCAAGAGGCGAGACTCTACCTCAAATCCGTTGGGGACTTGCAGTCCGCCATGCAGCACTTCCTCATCTCCCAAACCACCAGCGCCGAGAAGCTCATTCGAGCTCAGAATCTCATGCAATCCGCCATGAAACGTCTCGAGAAGGAGTTCTACCAGATTCTGTCAGCCAATAGGGAGTATTTGGACGCCGAAACGGTCTCCAGCCGCTCCTCCAGAGCCTCGACCCGGACCAGCGTATCAGATCAAGATTCCGAGTCGGAGGACGAGTCGCGAGTCGCAACCGAGTCGGTGGACCACATCTCCTGGGTCGCGATGTCTGATTTGAAATCCATCGCCGATTGCATGATCGCCTCCGGATACGGCAAAGAGTGCGTGAGAATTTACAACATCATCAGAAAATCGATCCTCGACGAAAGCCTTTACCTCCTCGGCGTCGAGAAGATGACGCTCTCACAGGTTCAGAAGATGGACTGGAGCGTTCTGGAGAAAAAGATCAAGAACTGGTTAAACGCCGTCAAAGTCTCCGTTAAGACTCTGTTCTACGGAGAACGGCTACTCTGCGACCACGTCTTCGCCGCTTCGGACTCGATCGCGGAGTCCTGCTTCAGCGAGATTTCGAAAGAGGCTGCAATGACCCTGTTTGGTTTCCCGGAATCGGTGGGAAAAAGCAAGAAACTTTCTCCCGAGAAAATGTTCCGTGTTTTGGACTTGTACCAGGCGGTATCGGATCTCTGGCCCGAGATCGAGTCCATTTTCTCATTCGAATCAACCTCCGCCGTCCGATCTCTGGCGGTTAACTCCCTGGTGAAGTTGGGCGAGGCCGTTCGTTCGATGCTCGAAAAATTCGAATCGGCGATCCAGAAGGAAACGTCCAAGACCCCGGTCCCCGCCGGTGGAGCCCACCCACTCACGCGCTACGTCATGAATTATATAACTTTCCTCTCAGACTACACCGAAGTCCTCACCGATATAGTCGCCGACTGGCCGCTGGCGATCTCGACACCGCTACCCGAAGCTTACTTCGGGTGCTACGATGCCGAGGAATCGCAGCTTTCTATTCGCTTCGCCTGGCTCGTTCTCGTACTTCTCTGCAAGCTCGACGGGAAAGCTGCGCTGTACAAGGACGTGGCGCTATCCTATCTGTTCTTGGCCAACAATCTCCAATACGTCGTCGGAAAGGTCCGGAGCTCCAACCTCAAGTCCTTGCTCGGGGATTACTGGGTGGAGAAGCACGACTCGAAAGTCAAACAGTACGCCGCGAACTACGAGCGCATGGGGTGGACCAAGGTGTTCGAATCCCTACCGGAAGATCCGACAGCTGAGATTTCATCCGACCAAGCCACGGTCTACTTCAAGCGCTTCAAGGCGGCGTTTGAGGAGGCATACAAGAAACAAACATCGTGGGTCGTGATGGACCCGAAACTCCGGGACGAGATTAAAGTTTCGGTGGCGAAGAAGTTGGTGCCGGCTTACCGGGAGTTTTACGAGAAGCATAGGAACGGGATAATGAGAGCGTGCGGGGAGGACTCGTTGGTCAGATATGCCCCGGAGAATCTGGATAATTACTTGTCGGATCTGTTGTACGGGGTGGCGAGTGGCGGTAGCGTTTCGTCATTTTCCTCGTCCTATTGCTCTTCCTCCTCGTCACACTCGCGTGGGAGGCTGGGTCGTTGAGAGACGTTGGGGTGTCGTTTTGTGGCCCGTGTGCCGTCGTTTAGTGACTATAATACATAGGACGTGGACAAAAAACATGTAAAGATTTTTAATACATTATACAAGAATTCTTTGATTTGTGAGACGGATTGAAAGGCAGATTATGCTGTCTGGTGTTGTTGGATTCTTCCTTTTGGAGATGGCATTATAATTTGCCGGCTTTGTTCAAACAAAATGTGATTTCTGATCCCTTTGAAAATTACTAGGAACTACGTCGGTTTACTCGATGGTTTACTTTATAATAATTGTGAGCTGTTTCGACAATGTGTTAACAGTTGATAGTTATAATAATTATGAGTTGTTTCGACAATGTCTTAATAGTTCATGGTTATTCCTGTGTAGCGGCCTAGCGGGAGATGGACTGAACTTAACATTTCTCTAGAATTTAGCTTGGCCTTATCTAGTATTTTATTTGGCCGCCTGTGTTCAAACAAAAAAACAATGCCTTGGTTTGAGTATTATTGAAATTATGGTGCCAGTTTAATCATCGAGCGCGCGTAAGCAATTATGAGTCATTGTCGTGACATGCATCAATAGTGTATTGTCGGTTACACATGGAACTATGTTGAGTTTTGTCGCTCACGTGCAAATATGTAAGTGCTTGTAAACAATCACTTAAGTTATATATCAACGATTCACACTTGGAAATCATGGTGGGATTAATCCCCTATAGTGCACATAACTATATAATTGTAAGCCGTTCCTCCATTACATATCAATAGTGCAATGTCATTTACGTTTGAAACTAAGTTGTGTTTAGTCGCTCTTATACATTTAATGTAAGTGAATGTGATTATTTCCATAACATATCAACGATTTACACTTTGAGGTGCACATACTTATGTAATTGTAAGCCATTCCTTCAGTATATATCAATAGCGCCATATCATTTACGTGTGAAAATATGTTGTGTTTAGTCCCTCTTACGGATTTAATGTAAGCGAATGTGTTTGTTTCCGTACGTATCAACGATCTATACTTTACGGTGCACGTAACTATATAATTGTAAGTCTTTCCTTCAATACATATCAATAGTACAATATCATTTATATTTGAAATTATGTTGTATTTAGTCGTTATTATCTATTTAATATAAGTAAATGTGATCATTTCCGTAACGTATCAACGATATACACTTATGGGTTTGTACTTCTCCATCACTTTGACCTGAACCCAAAATAAGCAGTAACTTGGAAACAATGGAGCACAATTTTGATTGAGACAGAAGCATCCGGTTTCAACAAAACAATAAGTGCTGGCATGCATCACAAGGGAAAGGATGGCTTGATGATTGATCAAAAATTAAAGCAGAAAATGACCAGACGACGTATGAACATATATGGCGTTTGACAAGTTGATTTTCGTCGTCAGAACAGAGGCTCTCGATCGTCTGACTTTCTAACCTTTCGGCTTTAGGGTCCAGATTGGCTGAGAGCCCGTAATAATTTGACCCAAAAGAAACCTGAGGGTTCAAGGACGTTTCCTAAAGTCTGCGACGCTGTAGAGTCCACGTATTATTAAGGGTTGATTTGGTAATCAAAATACAAGGAATTGAATTGAAAAGAAATTAAGTTGAGGAGGAATTAGAATGAAGAAGAATTAGAATCAGATTCATGTTGAAGTTGTTTATGTAAATGTTTAGAAATCAGAATAGAAATAAAACTGAATTCATATAAGTTGTTTACTAATTCCACTGAAGCAGAAGAGATATTAATATGATTACTAAATTGCCCTTGTTTATTTTATTTTATTCTATATTTGTGCTTAAAAACATTTTAATTAGATATTTTTATTTATCTATCTATCTATTGTATATAAAGTCAGAAGTGTGATGAACAGCGTAAGAGCTTGATAAACAGTGTGCATGTCGACAAAATTAATTGAATCAAAATACCCCTACGCCAAAAAAAATCAAAACAACAAAAATGAATGCATAAGATAATCCAAGGGTAGTTTGGTAAATTTAGTTAACAAATTGATGCCCTCCACAGTCTTCCAAACCATTCATTTTCTCAGCTTCATTCATACCTCTTCGACCCATTTGGGGATTGGGTTTCTCTCAAACCCTAATTTTTCTCTCTTTCTGATCTCATCTCTCTGCTTGCGCCGATCAGTGGAACACCGTCCAGGAATGCGTCTCCGAATTCATTAACTTCGTCACCAGCGAGTAATTTTCACTTCTCTCTCTTTCTCTCTTTCTGTCTCTACTGTTATTTACTTTGCTTTTCAATCGGATTTTTTGGTGTTGATTTTGAATTCTATATTTGTGCTGAATTCCATTCTGATCGAAAGAAATTTAATACCAGAAAGCTTGGCTCCCGTTCTGATTTGAAGAAATTTTTTCTTGGATTAAACTAGTAGATTAATTGTATTTTGTTGGTTCAATTAGGGATGTTTTTGGGGTCTTTTTTTAAGAATATATTGAATCAGTCTATTTATTATTTACGTTATTCCATTGCGACCGTTTGAAGGTGATCTGAATTCACCTGTTGTGATCACAGTTTGTGGTTTTGCACTCCCTGATGGCAGGTCACTACTCGAAGCTAAAGAGACTTCTTCAGCCCTTGGTTAGTTAAAGCCTACATTAGAGTCAATATCATGGATTCTCTTATGCAACCCTCAAGTTTATTTAACCAATGTAAATTGAAGTTTTTCCCGCTTTAATGTAGGGGCAGTTGCATCCGCTGACGGCTCAGCATTAGCAAAGGTTGGTTCAATTGTAATTACTTATCTCTATTTATAGTTGCCAATTTTTTTTTTTTTTTTATTACAACAATTCTGAAGGGGACTCAATTTTTGGAGTCTTCAGTCATTGTTCAATTTTTTTCTTATCGAAAGTTTGTTTTTCCACCTTTTGGTTTAGGCTTCTCTAAGATATCGAAGCTATATTTAAGGATTTCATGTTTTTTTAATTGTGTTACATCTTAATTTGATGGTGTTTACAGAAGGATACATGCAGATGTAGCAACAGTTTTGTAAGAGCCAAAGAAACTGTACATGGGCTTGGGTTAGCGGTTGCTATTTCATCCCACAGATGGAGACGCTATTGATACCGAGTAATCTTCGAAGAAAGTCACCTCTTCAGAGAAGTAATCTGGTAGCATTCGTTAAGCACTTTCCAGGGTACGGACTTCACCAAGCCCAGGTTTTAGTTTGTTTCTAATTTATTGAGTTTTTAGGGGCATATTCTGTAATTAAAGGGGAATGAGGGGTCCAATTTGGTTTCAAAATCTTGAATCTGATCAAATGAAAGAATCAAAATTTAAAGATAATATGCCACCAATCATAGGACCCTGACTTCCAACTCTGCTGCTGCACTGAAGCACCATACTTTTCTTCATACGTTGGAAACATATGTTTTTTTTGTCTGATTTTTTGTACTGATATTAGTAGCTTTTTAGGGTTTAACTATTTGATTTCACGGATTCATTATAGACACATTAAATAGTTACATTTTTAATTCGTATTTCATAACTTGGTTGCTTGATGCTAATGTCGATTCGTTACAACAGAAGTGAACTAATTCTAATTTAAGCGTGGAATTTTTGCTCTTGTTTTTATTGTTGTTGCCTTGATTGTGGTTATCTGACTGATTAATACTTCATGAAATATTGAGCAATATCGTGCGGCTCAAGAATTTCGTATGTGTTTGTGCGTATTTTTGTACTCTGAATAATTCTAATCAAATTCCATTGCTACTAAGCTAAGATCAGAATTTTTAGTATATAAGGGAAGGTTAGCAGATACTTACCAATTATCCAAAGCTGGATATTAAGGTCTTTAAGATTAATCTCTTTTTGTATGTGTAGCATATGCTTGGAAAATAGCATATGCTTGGAAAAGGTTTCAACTTTATTTTTTATTTGTTAGATGATCAATTGATGTATTTTATGAAAGTTGTTCTGCAAGATGTAAAGATAATTTCTTTGTTTATGTATACTGTTTAATTATATCAATGGAAATTGGTGCTGCCATTGTGGCAGTAGATGAGTTTCTGGCTTTTAAGACGAAGTACTAAAAAAATTTTATTTCTTTTTTCTTTACATGCTTTTCTTTTAATTTTGCAGGAATTCTCACGTTGCTTTCATTAAGTTTTACATGGCCATGATAAGGTATTGCTCATCCCCACAAACATTTTGTACATGTGTGGCATTAATATATTTTGTTTTTTGATTGAATTTGTTTTCATTCAATGGGTTTAGTGAGCTAAACAGCAAGTCTCTTTTTAATCATGTTTAAATTGAAGTCCTAATTTCGTTGGTTTGTTCATAATTAGTGTGTTATGTTGTTTTCCTGTGTGTTTTATGTGTTTGGTAATTTATGGGAGTCTTCACAAGAAATGTTGTGTACAAAAATATTTTGCTTCCATCCAAATGTATGATAAGGTTACATTGATTCTTTTAATGTTTAATTCACTTTTCAAATCCACATAGATAAATACATTTAAATTGTATAAGTGGAGTGTAGAACGCTGTAATTATAAAAAGGCCTTCCACGCGCGCGTGAGCACGTGTAAGGAGGCTAGTTTAATTAAAGTAAAGAGTCATGCGCGTGCAGGAGGCTAGTTTAATTAAAGTAAAGAGTTAAAATATGCATTAAAATATGCAATATTGATTTATTGTGTATAAATTAGATTATAATCTAATTAAAAGTAAAAAACCTAACCACATTCATCTTCCTACCCGCAGAAGAGAGAACCCAGAAACCTTCAGAGCCGTCAAGATGTTCCTACCCCGCAGAAGAAAGAACCCATAAACCAATTGGAGAGTCAAGTCCTTCCTACCCCGCAAAAGAAATAACCCAGAAATTCATAGAAATTTGTTTGCTCATGCCTATTTCTTCTCAGGTTTATGGTGGTGCAGTGGTGATACAGAAGGGAGATGGAGAGGGAGAAGTGGTTAGTGCTCTAATTTTCAAGATTCTTTGATTCTTAGGGGCAAACAGAGAGTATTTGTAGTGGGTATGGGATCTGGTCTTGGTGGAGCAGCATCTAGTCATGAGGTAGATGAAGAAGCAGCGCTGGTGAGGGAGATGATCACAGTAAGATGAAGGGCTTTATTGGAATAATCACAACCAAGTGAGGGCATAATTGGTAAAAGAAGTCCATTCCCGATTCCCCTCCAGTCAAGGAAGTCCAATTCCTCCAAAATAAGGAGTGGGATTCCCAAATTGGTGTGGACCCCACATGTATTTTGATTCTCCAAGATTACGTAAACAAAGATGTATCCCGTAATCGAAATCCAATTCCATAAATTGATTCTGATTACGGGTACTTAAACGTGCCCTCGAAGCGAAGGAAAAGAAGCAGAAAAAAGTTGCTTCTCCTGCCCTTTCCTGCTCAATTTCTTTCATTTTTCACGTGCGTTTAAGACTCAGCGTTGGAAAAAAAAAATTACGAAGTTTTTATTACAAATAATTTTTGAAATTGATTCGTTTAATTAAGATAGTATTTTAAAGCTAAAAATGGATAACTGTAGTTCTTAATATTGTTGACGCAAATCAATGTCATCTTTTTATTAGAATTATGTCAAAACTTTTGTTAGTATACTGATATGACACATATATAGATCTCACATGGATAAAAAAAAATTAAATTAAATTATAAAAATAAGAAAAAATAAATAAAAATGAAATTAACAAAAAGGGAAAAGAAAAGAAGAACTAAAAGCTTCATTAAAGCCCTAACTACGAAGCTATTATCTTCCCCACCCTGATTGCATAAAAAACCCTAAGCCCACCCCTCTGTCAACACTAGCTATGGAAAATGAAAGCTTAAGTATCTAGAGAGAGGGTAAATCTGCAACAAACTTTTCTCATTATAGTTAATGAATTATTACAAGGGTGTTTTCACTATAAATACATTTCAGCATAACTAACTCAACTTATAACAATCCAGTGACACATGTCACAATCCTGACCACTAATATCTGCTAACATTCCCTCTTAATCTTATGTCTTAGTGGAACCAAGTATAAGATTGGAACAATGTGTTGTAAACAAAGGAGAACATAAGCCTTTTGTGAAAATGTCCGCATATTGGTCTGTCGAAGCAACAAATTGCAGAGAAATGACACCTTGTTGAAATTGTTCTCTCACAAAATGACAATCCACCTCAATGTGTTTGGCTTTAGAGTGCAATATAGGATTAGTAGCTAAAGTGATGGCTGAGATGTTGTCACAATGTAAGAATGGAGGAGAAGAAGTATCAATATGAATATCTTTCAGAAGTTGTTGAAGCCAAACAATTTTGGCAATGGCGGTTGCCATAGCCTTGTATTCAACTTTTATCGAGGATCTGCTAACTATGTGTTGTTTCTTAGAGCTCCATAAAATTGGATTGGAGCCTAAGAACACAACAAAGCCTGTAATAAATCGCCTATCATTGGGATCACCAACCCAATCATCATCTGTGTATGCTTTTAAAACCAATGAGTCAAGTCTAAAACAATGCCCCAGCCTAAAATACCTCTGAGATATCTTAAAATTCTCTTGACAACAACATAATAAGATTCCAGAGGAGAATGCATAAATTGGCACACTTGATTCACAAAATAGGCAATGTTAGGTCTTGTAAAGGTTAAGTAAATTGGCATAAATTGCCCACACTAGGTATTAGAGACGAAATTGATGATTGAGTAAGTGCCAATTGAGCAGAGGTCACTATTTTCAATGAGAAAATCACAATCTGTGCAATGCAAGTATAAAGAATTCACAAACGGAGTCAATCCATAGACTACAACACAATAATCGAACCAAGACTTCTTATCATCAAATGAGTGTTTGACAAGATATAAGCGTGTTGTACTCCTTTTCTTTTCAATCAAGGGTTTATCTCATCAAATTTTATTCTAATAAGGTTGTAACAAAGTAGCATTACACACGACGACCACCTGATCAATAATTCATAAAAAAAAGTTGTACTCTTTTCCTTTCGCTTAAGTTCTGTATCACCAAAGTTTTTAAATAAAATTTAAATGAGCAACTATAAAGGGTAATCGATCCTAAGCCCTAACTATAAAGAGTTATTAATAGAAATCAAACGGGCCAAGGAGACCCTAAAACATCATCAGCTAGACTTTGGCCCACCCAAGCATGAAAGCCTATGTGTGCCTAATCTCCCGATAAACATGGTGGATTTCATTGTTTTGAATGTTGTGTTTTGGGCCAATATGGAAAACTAAAAACCACAGCAAGTCATAGAAAAACAAAGTATGATGGGTTGAGCATTTCTCTCCTGCGGACGAAGATTTGGGCTGTCGTTAGCAGTGTCTTTCGGTAGGAAAAGAGAGGGGGGGGGGGGTGGTGGGGAGGGTGGGGGTGTCCTAAGGACCCGTATAGTTCAAGAGCCAAATTGCCAAACTGATTTTAGAGATATTAGAAAAAGGTGCTGACCAAAGAGGCTCCATTGGTGGTGGCCAAGGTATTGGGTTGATCGAGACCATCGAAAGCCTGAGAATTTTTGGGGAAGAAATTGAATTTTTCAGTCAAAGCTCGACGGATCTGAGGTGTTTTAGACAGAGGAGCTAAATAATTCGATTGGATTGTGATGGTGGTTTGATTGATATGGGTGGTTGCAGCGCATCAAGGTAAGGGGAAGCAAGCAGGCGGAAGTGGGGTGGTGAGGAATGAATTATTGGATTATAGCACCAAGTCGTTTGGATTTTTAAAACCATACATATCCACTAATGTATTGTTAGAGTTTGAGTTTAAAGTTAATAAAAAAATATTTCGTTGATTGGTGCGTGATTGGGAACGTGATATATTCAATGTGGTACATTCAATATACCAAAACGACGAGCATCTTGTGATTCATTTGATACAACTTTGCACCTTACTTGGTATTTTCTTTAATATGTGTCACGTGACATCTTGTGATTTATTTAATATAACTTTTCTCAAGTTTTATGGCATCAAAATACTTGGTATTTTCTTCAATATGTGCCACGTGACACCTTGTAATTTGTTTGATATAACTTTTCTCGAGTTTTATGGCATCAAATGATGAGCGCCCTTAAATGAGTCCGCATCAACTTTCAATATGTGCCATGTGGCACCTTGTGATTCCTTTGATACAATTTTTTTTCGATTTTTCTGAATCAAAACAGCGAGCACCCTACAAACGTCCATAGTAACTCCCGAACTATTTTTTTCCATCTTCCTAGGTTTTTACGAATTTCACACCCTTTATTATATTTTATTCATAATTTGTCCATTAATTAACAGGTCATTTATGACCTTTTCCACCAATGAGCTCGGTTGGCTGTGAGGCGTCCAGATCAAATCGAACGACTTAAATCCATCCACACAGTAAGTCCGTATTTGGTGATACACACAAGAGAATTTGCGAGGCTGGTTACCACAACTTTTCACAAGTCGCCACTTAATACTACGATCTAATGGTATTCCTCTTCATTTGGAAGTGAGAGGTCTTAGGTTCGAATCTCGTGGATGGCAAATTCAATACCAAATTAGGTTACCCATTGTGTGGTTTAGTTGAACTCTCCCTCTGTTTAGTCTAAAAATATTGATGTATTTCCAAAAAAAAAAAAAAAAAAAAAAAAAAACTCTTCACGAGTCACCACTAGTGGGATACAAGACCCAGTAGAGGCGGGTTAATATGCTAGCAGCCTAACACATTTCAATGTTCACAGCCCATTAAATGTGGGCTTCCTCATTATCAGTCTTTACCCTTGAGCAGAGGGGAAATTAGAATGCTCAACTCTTTTTCTACATTTTTTTAAGGGAATTATTATTGATATTCCAAAATTCTTATTTTATATTTTAAATTTTTTATATTTAGAAAGAAAAATACACTTGTGAGGAGTGTAGAATGAGATTTTTGGAGTGCCAATAACACTTCTCTTTTCTAATTAAACTTTTGTGTCTTTTAAAGATTTGATCAAAACGCTTGGACTAATGGCCATCTAAGCATTTTAAAATTTTTTTATTTACATATCATTAGTTTATTTCTTTTAAATGAAAAATATTATATGTTGATTTCCCACTTTATCTTTTTAGTCGATGGAGGTTTTTTTTATGTGCCAGAATTTATGCCCCTTTTTAAGGGATATATTAACTATTAAATGGATATTAACTATTAAATCATCAAAATTATATGTCCATTTTTAAGGGATTATTAATGGATATTAACTAGTAAATCATTAATATTATCTCCTAAATTTTGAATTTTGAACAATTTTTTTTTTTTTATTTGTTGCAGCTCACTTTCACTTGTATATTATCTGTACCTCATGTTCTTTATCTCCGGCAGAGATTTGCAGAACTTGAGGTACGTTTCATGGTTCAACAAGTATACCTAATAATTGGTTATGCTGCTTTAAGGAATGGTGTAACCATAAAAATGTTGGTTCAAGTAGAGCATTAAGGATTTTCTGATGGAGAAGAATCCATCATTATTTCATTTAGTGCTAAAAGAAGAACTCTTGCTTTGTATGTTGTGATCTTTATGATTACTATGCCATTTGAACACTACAAACATCTTGATTCTTGGGAAAAAAAAAACATCTTGATTTCTTTCCCAAATAAGGAGTCTCTCAAAATGGATTCATGAAGAACAAAGAGGAGGTTCCATTAAAGAAGAGTATTGCATATATGGTTAATGTGTGTTTCTCCGTCTATCCATATGCCTAATTTGAATTGTACTCATGTCATGTTGAAATGTATTAATATTGGCTTGAGACATACCAATGCCAAATTGAAACGTATCGATACTAATAGAAATGTACATGTGCCAATTTGAAACATACCAATGCCAAATTGAAATGTACCGCTACTGATAAAAATGTACCCATGCCAAATTGACACATACCAACATATTGACTAGAAATGTACCAATGCTAAATTGAAACGTACCTTTTAACACCTACCACTAGACTCTATTTTCCAAATGTTGTGACATCCCACATCGCCCAGGGGAGTGATCCTTAAATGTATATTCTCATCCCCTACCTAGCACGAGGCCTTTTGGGAGCTCACTGGCTTTGAGTTCTATCGGAACTCCAAAGTTAAGCGAGTAGCGCGCGAGAGCATTCCCAGGATGGGTGACCCATCGGGAAGTTCTCGTGTGAGTTCCCAAAAACAAAACCGTGAGGGCGTGGTTGGGGCCCAAAGCGGACAATATCGTGCTACGGTGGTGGAGCGGGCCTGGGAAGTCGTCCCCCCCGGGCCGGGATGTGACAAATGTACCATGGTAAGGATCCTCAAATGTATAATGCTAAATTGAAACGTACCTAATACCATCTACCACTAGAATCTATTTTCCAAATGTACCACGGATACTCAAATCAAAAGGTGCATAAAATGAAAATACAAAGGAAATGAA